TACTGGACGTTCTTCCCCAGAAGCAGAAGGAAATCCGTACGCTCTGAGCCAAAAAACTAATTGGACATTTATAAAATGGGCGGGAAGCGTAGAGCCGGCCTGCTTTCCTTCCCCAGCTTTGTGAAGGTAACAACAGAACCTCTCAGCCAGAGGCCACTGTCTTTCTGCATTATATCCGAGCAGGTCCACAACATATTTCCATCGCTAGAGACTCAGATGCATCAATCGCCTTTGTCCGGAGAGGCGGTTGATGCTCTGGGAAGCTAAGGGCAGATTCAGTTATCACGATCAAGTGTATCACTCCGTGTACAGTTGACCTCAATATTGAGTGTGCCCTCCGCAATTGCAGTACGCTGCAAATAATACATTCCTGTTTCCCCCTCCCTCCCCCTGAGTGGCATATCCCCCTCCCTTTGCTTCGCCGAGACAGCCCAGCGAACCTGAAACCTGAACGGACCCGGATAGGGTGCCAAGGCGTCCTGCGGGCACACGGGGGATATTCTTTGACAAATTAGCTGCAGTTGTTGCTGTAGCGTACTGCTGTTGCAGCTTCAGCATGCTCCTGTTGCTGCTGTCAGGCTTTCCTTGGAACTTTCAGCCCCATGGGGAGTCGGCTATCATTGGACTCCACAGGGACGCAGCGATAGACCATGCAAAGAGCAGTAGTAGCACGCAAGGAGCGCCCACTACTCAATGAGCTCGATGAATTCAACGGAATCCTCGAGGGCAGGAGCGAGCAGCGTAACGAACGTGGAACATGTTGGCTAGCTCGCATGTTACGAAGCCATCTAACGAGCAAATGAACCATCTAACTACCTAGCTAGCAAGTTTGCCAGGTAACTACCCGGCTAGCTCAATAAATAGCGGCCGAGCTGAGTAGCTCCTGCGGTGACCTGAGTTCTATTGGGATCGTCCTAATCAGAGATTAATCCGGCATTTGGTGATTCTTTTGTCCCGTGGTCTAAAACGCACTGCGGGCTGAGGGGCCAGAGCTTGTAGTCCCCCTATCAACGCTTCAATCATTAAACCCGTCCAATTGCACGTGGTACTGCGGTAGAGAGAGCAATCAGTGCTTCAAAAAAAGAACTAAATAAAAGTTAGCTGAAATTAACCCCGCGGGAATAGCCATTCCTGCCAAGAGCTCGGCGTGCCTTTCACCACCCTGCAAAACTCCTATGTGCACACCAAAGGCGGCACAAATATATATGAACGTATACAGTATATGCATACATACACTTATATATAATACATGCATCTAAAAAAATGTGTCTAGTAAGCGAGAAGTGTAAACGCCTACGTTTACATACGTGCGTACACGTGTCTTCCGACCATGGTCACGTACGTTTATGCATACGGGTATGCACAGAAAAGAAGTGCGTGCTGATTTAATGCGTGGCCAGTGCTGCTAAACGTAACAGCAGGTGCAGAGGTGAAGGCTTGCGGAGACGTTAAAGGAGCAACAAATCCTTGTTGAGTTCGCCAAAGAATAAGAGGGGGTCCGACGTGGCTATTTTGATGCGGTCCTTCACTCTCTACCCAGAGCAGAAAGCAGAGGCAACAAAAGCCAGACAGCACATCCACATGACGGCGGATATATGCTGCTAAATTGCAAAGACATGGCACAAAGCCAGATCATACGTGTACCCACAAAGGAAGCTCAAGAGACCCACTCACCACGTTAGACGAACTTATCAGCCCCCCCACAAACAACGGTTCACCCCTCACATCCCACTGCAAGCCTTCAGTAGTCACGCTACGCACTTTCCCTGCTGTGCACCACAGCAGCAGCAGGAGCAGCACAGCCAGCAGCAGTCACATAGCAGTAACAGCAATAGCAGCAACAGCAGCAAGAGGAGTGAAAAACACTGTGGGCCTGCTATGGCTCCAGTTGCGTACGACCAGCTCTATCTGTTGATCTGCGTCAGAGTCTTAACAAATGCGGCGAGAGAAATAATGCCAAAGCGGCACTACAAAGAAACAGCAGAGGGCAGCAGCAACATAACCTACCCATGGGCAGAAACCCGCAAGTCTCTGAGAAGACCTTGTTCGACAGCAACACCCTGTTATCCCCCTCAAGCAACAAAACACAAGCATTGTACCCTCCCAATAAAACCACCTGGGAATATAACGCACACACAAAGAACGAGCAGCAAGGAGCATACTGAACAATACAAAAAAAAGCGACGACAGCAACAGCAACAACATTATCAACAGCAGCAACGACACGAACAGAAACAGCTGCAGAAACAGCAAGAGAATTGGAACCATCCGGCATGTGGAGAGCTAATAATCTGTCCTCCTTGCGTCAGAGCAAGAGAGGGGATATATGTCGTCAGGTGTACCTACACCGGAAATCCAGTATGATGTCGTGGTTACAAGTGCTGAACCACGTGCACTCACAACAGCAGCACCAGAAGCAGTAGCTTCTGCTCCAGCAGCAGGGCTCAGCAAAATCTGCTGCTCACCTTGGGGAGCTGCTGAGACGCGGTCGTGGAGGCATTATGAACTTTGTACAGAAAACTGACTGCGGCGATTGAATGATCGAACCGGCCACCGATGGCCCCTGTAACAAGGTGATAGCAGGCGACAGATTTGAGCATGCAGCTGGCAGACGCACAAAACCGGGCATGGCTACGAAGACAATTCCACACGTACAGATCCCACTGATTCCAGCAGCAAGAACGCAGCTGCAGCAGCAACAGCAGCAGATGCAACAACCGGAGGAGCAAAAGTAGCAGCAAACATCGGAGATCTCCTGACCCGTAAATGATGACGGCGTCGTTGGCAGATAAGCGATATTTGTTTGCTGCAAAGGCGAAAGCCTTCTCAAAGTCTGTTTGACTCTGGTCGGGCAGACGCACAACCGGCACACCGCGCGTTTGAAAGAAAGAGAGAGCCTACACAAGCAACAGCAGCAGCCGTAGACAAAACTGCCCCAAATCAGCAGGGGTACAAACCACAGGAGCGCAAGAATTCAGCTAGGTCAACTCGCACCGACTTTGAAGCAAACGTGTAGGCAAGTAAATAACCGGAAAAACAAACAAACAAACAAACAAAAGAATGAACACAAGCACGAAAACACGCA